ATATTAATAGAACAATAATGTCATTGTTAGCTAATGAATGTTTCCATGGTGACCAACAGCAACATGACAACGTTTTCATTGGTCCCTCTTCTTTAGAGAAGACCAGGAAATGATGGATACACGGATCGTGTTCAAATCAATAGGCACGCAATGACTCTAAATAATAATGATCACGCCACCAAACACACATTCAGACTAAAGGAACCAGCCTGTTTGGAAAATGAGAGAAGTAGAAAGTACAGGTATTTGAGTTCAACATGTAAGAAGTAGAAAGTACAGGTATTTGAGTTCAACATGTAAGAAGTAGAAAGTACAGGTATTTGGGTTCAACATGTAAGAAGTAGAAAGTACAGGTATTTGAGTTCAACATGTAAGAAGTAGAAAGTACAGGTATTTGTGTTCAACATGTAAGAAGTAGAAAGTACAGGTATTTGTGTTCAAAATGTAAGAAGTAGAAAGTACAGGTATTTGGGTTCAACATGTAAGAAGTAGAAAGTACAGGTATTTGTGTTCAACATGTAAGAAGTAGAAAGTACAGGTATTTGTGTTCAACATGTAAGAAGTAGAAAGTACAGGTATTTGAGTTCAACATGTAAGAAGTAGAAAGTACAGGTATTTGAGTTCAACATGTAAGAAGTAGAAAGTGACTAAGTTTTTCATTGCCATGTCTACACTGTAGCTAATGTACACATGATGATAAAGCCTTGAAACTTGACACAGGGTCGAATGGTCAAAAAGATCTCAGTCATTAAGAAGTACTTAACAGTGGACTCCAATAACCACAGAAACGTCACGCTGTGTGTTCTTATGGTGTGGTTTTATGCAGGTATATAAACGTGGACAACAGTAGAAAAATAAACTCTTCATTACCAAGATTAATATTCATATCTGCATGGGTCTACACATCGATCACTGTGCATATCACCATCCAAACATGTTGAAAAATAAACCCCAAACCGCTCAGTAAACACTGTAAGACGTTATTTGATCGTTCACAAGTTGTAACATGCTGAATAAGCAACGTAACTATCATGATCTGAGTTTGTCACAAAAAGATGGTTTGTTCCCTTGAACGGTCAAACGTTGTGTGACGTTACATTTTGGGACAACATTATCTCCTCTCCTAAAGGATGCTCCAGAGTGTCCTTAACAAGATAACCAAGGAAGCATTGAAGCTCCTTTCCTATCATCTATAATCTCAACAGCTCTAATCATGGCTGCAGCTCAGAGACCTCCACTCTGTTAGGAACCTTCCTCCTCTGTAGTTGAGCTGGTCTCTTGGGTGCTGCCACCTGCTGGCATTTTACTGTATAACACCGAGTATACCATGGATTACACTGTAAAGATAACCCTCATGATCATGGTGTTGTCAAGAGTTGGTTCGTTAGAGAAATCTAGTTTCCGTCTAGTCGTCAGTATTTCTCTGTTTGAAGGTGCAAACATGTTTATAATCCATATAATCAATCTTTCATGACTCTGTTTTCACACAAGCTTAGTTAAAGACATGCTGCAAAGCTTCTGGACAGATAGTTATCAATCTGAACAGACCATTCATGAGCACTAGTTCTAGAAACATGCATGGATCATAATGGAGCATTGGAAATACAAAAAAATAGTACTTTAATTGAAGGTTGTGGTACTTTGGGTTTTTCAAGTCTTTTATATTTCCAAATGTACTTTCAAGTCTCAAGCATATATCATTTCCATGTACTTAACCTTTTTGTACAAAGCTGTTTTTTAAATGTAGTTTTTCTTTTTTCCCTGAAGCCGTATGTTCCCTGTCAGACGGATAAGAGCGGCCGGCTGAGACTAGAGACGGTTGACGATCTGTTCAACATCATGCAGCTGAAGAAGAGGAGGAGGGAGAGGAAGGCTCCGATCAATAAGAAACCACAGCCAGTGCCAGAGACCCTGGTGAGATTAAATCGTGTATTAGTCTGCTTTAATGATGAGGTTGGTGATTGGTTGGTTGGTTGGTTGAATGATTGGTAGGTTTGTTAGTTTGTATGATGGTTGATTGTGGGTTGGTTGCTTGGTCAATTGATTGAGTTGATGTTTGGTTGGTTTGTTGATTGTTTGGTTGAATGTTTGGTTGGTTGAATGTTTGGTTGGTTGGTTGGTTTGTTGATTGGTTGGTTGTTAAGTTGATTGTTGGTTGCTTGGTCAATTGATTGAGTTGATGTTTGGTTGGTTTGTTGATTGATTGGTTGTTAAGTTGATTGTTGGTTGATTGGTTGATTGGTTGATTGGTTGTTTGGTTGAATGTTTGGTTGATTGGTTGGTTGGTTGGTTTAATGATTTGTTGGTTGGTTTGTTGGTTTAATGATTTGTTGGTCGGTTGATCGACTGACTGACTGATTGATTGATGTATGTAGGGAAATGTTTCATTAAAATGTTTTTTTCTGCTCTTTAAAACCCTTCCAGCCAGCCTGGGTGGATGAGAACATGTTTCTGACTGCAGCCAGTGACAACAAGATGCCGCTGGTGGAGAAGTACCTGACTGACGGAGGAAACCCCAATGCAGCCGACCATGTGAGCATCACTCAGAAGAAAACAATAATAAGTAATTAGTTAATCGTTGTTATCATTGATCTAATATTCTTCATGTATCCAATGTCCAGTTCCAGAGGACAGCGCTGCACAAAGCCTCGTTCAAAGGACACGTGGACGTCATGAAGAGACTCCTGGAGGCCGGAGCCACAATCGACAAAAAAGACAAGGTGAGACATTTTAAAGCTCAGCAGGAATACAGTGTTAGTAAAACCTAAAAAGAGCATTTAGTGTTTGTTGTAAAGGATCAGATGTTATCTCTTCTCTGTAAGCTGTTCTGCTCTGTAGGATAATACTTTAAGTGTGAATGGTTGGTTGGTCGGTCATTTGGTTATTTGTTTGTTTGTTTGTTGGTTGTTTGGTTAATTGGTTGGTGGGTTGGTCGGTTGGAGGCTTGTTTTTAATCCAGTAGATGAACCTATATGTTCATAAGTCTGTGTGTTTTGTGTTTCAGCTGGAGGCCACAGCGGTGCACTGGTCCTGCAGAGGAGGCAGCCTGCCGGCCCTGCAGCTCCTCATGGACCAGGGGGCAAAGGTCACCTACAGAGACAAGGTGAGCACACACAAACAGCGCTTTTTGATTTATCTCCAGTTATATCCACACAGTATATTTATGTGTGTTGGATGAATGGAGAGAACTGAAAGCCTGTCCTCTCCTCAGTTGAACAGCACTCCTCTCCATGTCGCTGTGCGGACCGGACACTGTGAGTGCGCCGAGCATCTGATCCACTGCGGAGCCGACGTCAACGCCAAGGACAGGGTAAGGAAACCAACACAGAGCTCTACATTTAAGATAAGATAAAGATAAGAGATACTTTATTGATCCAAAATGTTGAAATGTTTGCAAAGCAGCATCATAAAAAACAACAAAACAAAACAAGGCATTGCACATAAGTAGAAATGAAAGAGTAGAAATAAACAATACTAGAATACTAATAATAATACAATACTCTATTGAAGGGCTTTAGACACAATATAAAGCAGGATATTATTTACATTTAGAAAGTGGGAATGGAATATTAAATATGTAAAATGTTAATCTTCTGCAGCGAGACATAAAGCTGATCCCACGAGACAATCTACTGGACAAGCAATTTGTGCACATAAAAGCTAATTTGTTATGAATTAACCTTCAAGATTTCATAAAATAGACGTACCACGAGTAGGTCCATCTTTCTGAAAATACTTATTTGTGAACTCATAATGAAGACATCCTCCCTCATTGATTTCCTGCTTCCTGAATAAAGGACGGAGACACGGCCATGCACGACGCTGTGAGAATAAACAGATTCAAGATGATCAAGCTGCTGATGATGTACGGAGCCAGTCTCACCACAAAGAACTCTGTAAGTACACGACAACCCATCCATGCTTTCACTGATCAAAATGTACATTTCAATTATATTTTATTGTAACATTTCGACATCAGAAGGCCACATATAGTCACCCACCACAAAAAATCACAATGCGTAAGTGTAAGATATTTAATCCGTTTGAATTGTCTTTCTGGGTGAAATTTGCTTTGGGACCAAAGCTTGTTTATTGTTGGAGCTGAAAACATGTTTATTTCTGCTCTAAAGTTGATCATTTTCACATGGGGGTCTTTTGAGATTTTCAATACAGCCTCAAGTGGCCATTTAAGGAACTGCAGTTTTGAGGCTCTGGAGTGCACAGTACGGCTTGGTTAGGAAACACAACGTTCCCAACTACTTGTTTTAATGCATGTCAGCCTGCAATTGAAACATCATTTCTTAATGTGAAATGATGTGATATTCAGCAAGGCCATCAGTTTTATTTGACCATATGCTTATATTAGACATACAACGATAAATAAAAATGCATAAAGAAACACAAACACAAATAAAATAGTTCAAGATAATATTGCAAGTGACCGATAGGTGTAAGTAAACCATATACATGCAAAAAAAGAACAAAATGACCGAAAAGCAGAACAAATATATAAATCAAATGTTGTACAGTTCAATAAAATACTGCTTATTGTAAAATAAAAGTGCCGTCGTATGTAATCAGAAACACACTTTACAGGCCATCAATGGGGCTGAAGACCTTACTCATCGACAACAATAAATCCAATGTAAATGCTTCCAGTTTTCCAGGTTTGATGAGTGTTTCCCTCTCTCCTGCAGGATGGAAAAACCCCTCTGGAGACTCTGAATTCATGGCAGAACGGCGCCAAGAGCCTCCTGTGTAACTTCAGCCAAGAGAAACCTGATTCAGTAACACGTTCCTAAAAACAAAATGCAACATGAGATTCAACCCGTGGATCGGATGGCGTGAAGCACCCAAGTCTTTCTTTTAATATCTGGTAATCCGGCGAGGCTGTGCCAAATGTTCGCTTTCAAACTGCCTCCGGTGTTGACTGACGGATATTAACACCCTCAGGTAGAGGTCATAAATCTAAAGCTCACTCTAAAGCGGGTATTGTGGGAAACCACAAATCTAATCAGGATGTTGTTAATGCTGTGATTGATAGCACTGATAGATTCAAATGTTGCTGGACAATGTTTTTCTTCTTAAGCTGAGTAGAAGTCGGCGAGGACATATTTATTGACAACTTAAAGAAAAATATTTATTGCGTTTGATTAATTTATTTCAATATTATATACTTAAAGGTAGGGTAGGTAATTTACCTCAGAAACACTTTTTGTTATATGGTAAAATGGACTGTACTTATATAGCGCTTTATCCAGTCTTTAAGACCCCTCAAAGCGCTTTACATACTACATGTCATTCACCCATTCACACCCATTCATACAGAGCAGTGTACCTTACTCTATAGGACCTAACATTCATACACATTCACACACCGTTGGCCATGCCATCGGGAGCAACTCAGGGTTAAGTATCTTGCCCAAGGATACATCGACATGTTGACTGCATGGGCTGGGATCGAACCCACAACCTTCTGGTTGAAAGACGACCGCACTCCCTCACAGCCACAGTCGATGGAATGCTCTTAACATCGATAGCAATGAATACATGAAATGCTTTGACAATAAATACATTAAAAACATGTCATCTGTGGAAGCCGTGGCGCTGTAAAAAGCACGACCAATCATCTGAGCCGGCCCGGCTAAAGTATAACTGGATGGCCTACCTGCCTGTCAGCCTTCCATCTGTGCACACATTTATCTCGTCCGTGTGTGTTGGAGGAGGGGCTCTGTAAGGAAGTCTGAAGGAAGAGGCAGATTTTTTTCAGCTGCGTACTTTCAAATTCTAGCGCACTCGAGCTGGATTATCCATTCTTACCTACCCTACCTTTAACAGCTCAGTTTATTTCCTAAAACATTGTGAACAAGTTAGCAAATGTTTTATCTTAGCTCCACTTGGCTCGAGGTTCACTTTACTTAACTGGATTTTATGAAAACTGGAGCAGAAAACTTGTCATATATGCTGCGTTTTTTTAAAGAAACATTCAAATATACTTTAGGGCAATGTACAAATTACTTCACACAG